ATCCCACCAAACTCACCACACCCAGAATCAAAATCACACAGACCCCCCCCCCCCCCCCCCTTGAGTATTATCATCATGACCTTTCCCATCCTACAGCTGTACCGCTGATGACTCCATAAATTAAACCAGCCCCAACGACGGATACGAGCTGAATCCCATCTGCGATGCCCCCTCCCTCGCGGACCGACTTGCGCAGACCGTGGCCAACACAAAATCAGATCAATGAACTAGTTCTTCAGTCGCGAGAGAGGGTGGGCGAGAGACAGCGAAAGGAGGCCAGTGGCACGGTGTGCGAAAACCATGATTTGGCCTGTGGCAGCATCCGTGCAAGATCGAACCAGCCCCCTCCCCCCGACCCCCTTTGCCGAGGTGTATCGATCCTTCGTATTCTATTGTATGCATACCAGCAAACAAGCAACTACCTTTTCTGCTGTTCGCAATAATTCTACATCTGCTTGTGCTGCACTCGTTACCTAACTGCTGTGCCGCGATGCAGCGTGGAACATCAATGAGCACGAGACACGGTTTTGCTAGTTCAGATCGCGCCAACAACGGGCGAGCAGCCAATCTACAAGAACAGCCCCGTCTGCTGCTGTGTCCAATACACACAAACTGGTCGCAGCATCGCACAGCAGCAGCAACGATCAAGGATAAACAACCTCCCTTTTCGAATGCCTGGTCACGAGCACCACTCCAAATGTTACACGGCTGTCTTTTGTGGAGGGAACCCTCTGGTCTGATCTGTGCCCGATGGCTCCTGCTATACCCACGGTGGCGGGGGGAGCGCGCCCTCTGGCACCCAGCTGCCCCACAAGGTTGTTGCCTGCGACCCCGTGCTGCAATAGACCCAACACGCAGCCAAAAAAAAAAGGGCTGCTATAGAAACCTCCTCACCTCAACCTTGACAGCAGCGGTGTTCTCGCCCCCCTTTCCTCCGTTATCCTCCTCTCCCTGAGACAGCGGTGGTGCCTGCCTTCCTCCCCAAGCAAACAGGTGTGCGCGGGTTGCGGGTTGTGCTGCTGCGGAGGGGTACCGCAGATGGGAATGTATGGGTACCCCGCACCTACGGGCGGTGTGTGCGGTGGGTCTTAGACGACTACACTGCTGTTGTGGCGTCGTGGGCTGTGCTGCCACACTACGTACACGCACGTGCCGAACGGAGGCGCTGAGAGTTTTCGTGTCAAACACGTCGCTCTTCGTTTTCGTCTTGACCCGCTGCTGTTCCGGAAACGCTTTTCCTCTGCCTAGCTCTTCGTTCCTGAGCACGGAGAACAAATCCACACACTGGCCGCACCCCTGCCTTCTTTTCGGGATAGGACACTGCGACGAGCTGCCACAGCTGCTATTAGGCACCGGCGGGGCGGGGGAGAAGGCTATCCGTTCCGCTGCTCTTCATTGCAACACGACGTCCAGGCTCCTGGAACGCTACGACCATGAGTGGATTCGAAAGTGAGTGAGAAGTTGTGACCAAGTCTACAGCAGTAATTTATGCATAAAATGCTGCTGTTGTTGCATCATGAAGCTAAAGGCACTGGGTGATGTACAATACATACCCCAGTCGTACCGCACATTGCATGCATACGTGCTTACACTCTGTCGTCTACACCGTCCTATGCATGTACTCGAGACCTAAATAGGGTAGTGTTTCACCATCACTGCCGGCCTGCCGCGGTGCATGCTGCTGCTGGCGCAAACAACGAGCAAGGACGAAATCAAGATTGGCCCGCGTTACAGCAGCATCGAGTTGTGCGACGAGTGATATCACCCCTGCGTGTTTGTACAGGGTGACCTTCCATACCGTATGCATAGGTGACATAATATATTACACACCCCATTTGTGCCAATTTTCGGAGCTCGATTTCTCCACAGCAGAAAAACAGTGGCAGTTGCCGTAAAGGGCGGCGTCGGAGCCATCTCGGGGAGGGAGCTTTCCCGCAAATACGTACTGCTGCTGTACCTGCATATCGTTTCAGTCGGGCTTTGAAAAATGAAACTATTTCGCAAGGGGGTGTGGTATGTTGCGTCAACCTACAGGTAGCGAATAGCGGCCGACATTATTTGCATATGCCTAGGTCTGAGGAAAGCTCTACTGATGAGGGCTTCCTGAAACTACCCTTCCTTCCCTTTCGGCAGTGATGCCCTCTTGACTGCCAAGTACAGCAGTCGTGGCTCCGATATAAGAGTAAGAGGGTGGTGTGACAAAAGGGCCGTAGACCCTCTAATGATCGGAGCCCCGTCCTTGTACCGGATGGAGAGAGAGTACTCAACAATGCTACACGAGGGTCGAGTCCTTGACAACCAATTTCTACCCTCTGATATCGGAGCCCCCCTCTTGTAAGGTACCCTCTTGTATCTGAGCCACGTCAGCATCGCAAGAGGCGGGGAGATAGCGCACACACCCTAGACCGGTTTTCAAAGCTCGACTACTCAACAACCAAGATTGTCTGTACCGTACCGTATACCGTACCGTGGTATTCCGCAAGAGGCGGAGAGGTGACACTCACCCTCTAGACCGATTTTCGAGCCTCGATCCCTCCACAACCAACGGGGTCCCAACTACGTTTTCGGAAAGCCCTAGACGAGATGTTCCAAAACCGCCCTTTTTTTGGTGCCATCTCTCCACCTCTTGCGGTAGGCGAGCTACATATCATATGAAAATGTATCTCCGTTGGGTGGTGCGTGACGCCAAGGCTAGGTCCCACCAAGCCTGATGATCCGTCACCAGGGGAGGGTCAGTCTGTGTGTTGCAAAGCTCAGACGGACTCCCCCAACTCTGGTCCTGTGTTGCCGTTGTGCTTGCTCCTTGTCACCATCGCTGCTGCTGCTGCTGCTGCTGGTTGCTAGCTGCTACCATTCCTCCGCAAAACACCTGCCGGTTCCCTCGCCGTTTCACAAAACAAACCTCGGCTGCGCGCGCACACACGCACCAAAAAAAATATCAGCCAACCACGAGGAGGAGCAGTCGATGGAGCTCGAGGCCCTGGAAGCGATCTACGCGGACCTGTTCAGCATCGTCAGCGAGAAGCCGCTGGAGTGGAAAGTTCACCTTGAGCCCACGGAGGGAGGGGAGGGGGAAGTCAACCACGGTGAGAGAGAGGGGGGGGGGGACCGTGACGGTGTGGGGTGTGTGTGTGGACCTCGGGCCCACCAGCGGGGGGGGGAGTCAACCACGATGAGAGAGAGAGAGGGAGGCGGCACCGTGACGGGGTGTCAGGGGGAGGGAGGGGTGAACATCGAGCCCACCGAGTGCGGGGAGGGGGGGCGTCGTGAACCTCGAGCCTAAAAGGAGGGAGGAGTTGACCACCGTAAGAGGAGAGAGGCGGCGGCAGCGGCATGCGTCCGATTCAACCCTGACTCGGGGTCTGTTGGCGACAAAGACAACGGTGGTAATAGTACCGTAGAGGCGGAGAGACAGCGCCCAACTTTCAGAGCTCGACTTCTCCCGACTTTCAGAGACCGACTTCTCCACAACCACGAGAGTGCGGAAAGAGGCCGATGATTATACGGAAAACCCTCGACAAGATGTTTTCCAAAACCACCACTGTTGATGTCTCAATTTTGGGTTGTAGATTGATCAGATGTTTGAAAATCGGTCTAGGGGGAGGGTCGTGTCTCCGGTTCTTACGGTACTCAAGCTGATGTCCCGGAAGGATACGGGCAGCAGAGAAAATATTACTTGGCTTCTGTCAATATGGACGCGTGAATATCATTACCGGCAGGGGGGGGGGGGGGGCGTACTCTCTTATGTTTTGATATTTTGCATGCCTTAGCAGTTAGACCATTGACCATGCGTTCTCTAGAGGACGGAGCATCGTTCCCCCCGGCTGACCGCCCCGGCCCTTGCCATCCCTGTCCCCACCCCATTGGGGAACTTTTGGGCGGGACATGGGGA